GGGGAGGACCAGAGTTCTTTGTTTTCAGTGCTTCGAGCCCAGAACTCTGTGTCTAGGCCCAGTGCGTGATGAACAGATTGTCAGAGCCCTGGGGCAGGGGTTTGGTTTGCACTCACCCCCAGTGCTGAGCAAGGCTGAGACAGGAAGAGGTGGGAGTGTGAGGCATGGAGGTTATAAAAATGCAGATGAAAGGAAAAGTATACTCACAGTAATCCTGCACTAAAACTGTGGACAATACTAACATGTATTGCAGGGAGAAGGGAAGGGCACAAGAGTTTGGTGGACACGGTAGTCTACAGACAGATACGGATACTAATACGTGAAGAAACCCATAGGAATGAACAAGCATTGCCTTTAGAAATGATAATGTTTAATGTGTAGTCAGCATAAGAGAAGCCTACAATTTCAATGGAAATAGAAGTATGGGGAGTATAACGGAAAATATAGGAAATAAAATATCATGAATTCTAACATAATTACAATAAATAAAGTTTCCAATTAGCAGACAGAGAATCTTGACATTGAAACCAAGATCTGATCATCAGTGGGCAACCCAAACCCCATATAAGTTATGGAAAATGAAGAAAAAAGTTGAGAATTAAAGAATGGAGAAATAAGATGCCAGGCAAAAATCCAGAAGCACCTAGGGTAAAAACCCTAGCATCTGCAGGGACAGAATTTAGGGCAGAAGATGCCACATGACACAGACAGCTGGGTGCTCCACAGGGAACAAACCACAGCAATGCCTCTCTGCACACCCACGACTGGCCAAGCCATAGGAAGACAGCGACAAGCAACAGCAGCTGTCAATGAACACAGCCGTGATTAGGAGCCTCCTCATTTTATGTTAGAGTGCCACAGCTTCCAAGTCCCCATCCTGGTCTGGCTGAGCAAACCAGAGCCTGTGCTCCCTCCACTGGAGCTGCAGGGGGTGTAAGCAGGACCCCGTGCTCACCCCTTAACAACTGAATGTCTAGGCCAGCCAGGCCAGACCCTTTCCTCGCTCACTCCAGCCATCTCCAGAGGAGCCTGGGGTCTCAGCCAGTGGGCTGGGTGTGACCTGTCAGCTGGCCTCTCCCGCCCCATTTAGAGACCTGATTAAAATGGGCCCACCTGGATAATCTAGGATTATCACATTATTTTAAGGTCAGTTGAGTGAAAACCTTAATCAACCCTAATGCAACCTTAATACCTCTGAGTATGTAACATGACATTCTTGGGATTCACCCAGAGATAAGGGTGGGGACATCTTCGGGGTGCCATTACTCTGTCTCACAGAGATCAGACGAAAATAAAAAATGTAGACTTGATGGTGCAGACAGGACTCACAGCGAGTGAGCAGAGAGAGTGTTTCTACTCTAGGAGACACTGACATTGAACTGGTCACAGGAGAGGCTCAGACACCCCAAAGACACTCAGAAGTTAATGAGAGCCGCAGGGTTAATGGCATCTTATTAAAAACCTCTGGGTAAGTGGACATCTTGAGGGAAATGAAGAGACTAAGTAGGAAATGATATAGTCTGTGAAAATTCATGGGACACGGCTACAGTGGTACCTGGAAATGTCTAGTCTTAGATACGTTTCTTGAGATGTAAGTCAAGTGAGAACAGAATTAGACAAGTAACCGAGGAAAGAACAGTGTACTGAAATATACATCAAGGAAAAGGGAAATAAAGATACCAGCAAAAATCAGTGAAATAGAGAATAAGTACTACTAAAAGCAAAACCCAAAGGTGGTACTTTAAAAAGATCAGTAAGATGTATTGATTTTGAAAATACAGAACAAAAGAGGAAGATTTAAATAAAGAGGCTGAAGACAGAAATAACTATAGCTATAAGGACTAAAAAATCACAAAACACCACATTTTAAAGTTTTGAATTCAAGGTCAGTTCAAAGAAAACCCCAAACTGTGGAAGTCAGCACCTCTGGGGACTTGGGGATGCAGGAAGCTGCCAGTGCTTTGCCTGCTGGGGCAAACAGCTTAAGTGAGATGGTTTTTGTCCTTTTTGACTCCTTTAATCAACCCAACAAAACTGCCTCCAACTACTTTTAGCATGAAACTTACTCCTGTCAGTATTTTGTGCCTAACTTTATGCTATTTTTATAGTATGCATTCTAGGGTCAGACACTGAATTGTCCCTTTTTATGGCAACAGGCTTCCTAGAGCAATAAAAGTAATGGCCTGTGTCTCAGCAAGCATGGAACTTCCAGGGAGGGCAGTGGCACCTGCTGGCCAAGCATTGGCCAGGTCTGGTGTCCGGGCGCCTATGCCTGCTGCACAATCCCCTCCATACCCTCCTCAAGATGAGTCTTTTTACCAATCCTGCCAATTCTTGGAGAGTCAAGGTGAACTGATGCGAAGGATGGGTCAGTTGGGGGTGGAGGACAGCTTTAGGGCTCCTGGAAGGGTGCTGGGCTCTCACGTGCATCACTAGTTTTGGGGGCCAGACTGAGGTGTGTGAGCTGCAAGTGTGTGGGACCTGCCTCATGTTCCCCCCGCCCTTGTTCATGTAGTAGAAGCATCTAAGACCACTAAGCAATGTGTCCAGCAATCCCCTAGTCCACCTGTCAGCCTCACTGGCCTGGTCACTCACAGCTATGAGTACTGCCCTCAGCTCAGGCCTCTTGTGCTCCATTTGTCCTTCTACCTCCCACACTGCTGGCTGCAGGACAGGCCCTCAGCACTCCAGCCGGGGCATGTCTCCTGCTCACACACCCTCAAGGATGTCAGGTCAGAGCCAAGCCCCCATAACTAAGGTTGTCTCCGACCTTCAGTCTGTCAGTCCAAGGGCCGTTCTAGGTCCAGTGAGGACCGTGCTCCTCTGTGACACACACTACAGTGGGAAAGGATGGCCACTGACCTGGTGGGCATTACCATGGCTCCTGAGGAGTAGGTGAAACCACACCTGCTTCTGAAGCTTTCATGCCAGTTCTGGCTCCCTTGGCCTTTGAAGCCACAGGCCGGGGCTTCTATTCCCAGTAAAGACCAGAGTCTACTTGGAGCGGAACAGACACACCCACCAAGCACAATCCAGATGCCAACTTAAAAAGCCTCGGTGTGTTAGCATGCTTCTGGTGCAGCCACAGGGTCTGAGGTGGTGTGGCTTTCACAGAGGCAGAGGTAGAGAACTGGGCTCTCCCTGCCTTCTGTCTCTCCCAGCCCAGAAGCCAAGCCAAATCCGCTCAGAGCTGGGGAGCGCTTTCTCCCACCTGGCCTGTCCCACACCTAATGTACCCTACCTGACATAGTCCTCTACCTGTTGCTGTTCCTCACCTCCGTGCCACTTCATGCCCCATCTGATCCTCTACTTCTAATCCCTCACATGGAGTGTCATTCCATTTATACAGTCTACCATTTTCTATTGTACTCCCCCCTGTTGACTGGCCACCTGCTGGCCTGCAGACAGGTGACAGGGGAAGGCCTATGTCTCAGGGTCCCTGCTGCCTGCAGGGCCATGTCTGGGGCCAGTGAGTGGGAGTGGAAGTAAGCCTCAGCCCTGATGTGCTGGGTTTCTCCTCACTCTGCGCTGTGCTCTGGGCAAAGCAGGGGTGAGGTACATGTCCATGGCTGAGTTAGGGCCCCTTGTCTGCACACAGGCAAATGCTTGAGGCCCATCTGGCAGGAGTCTTGGAAGCAAAGGAAGAGGGCTCTGCTCAGCCACTGCCCTGGGACAGGTCATCATGCCCATGGATGCTCCACAGGATCCAGGGCAGATGTCATCTGTTAGGACTGCTGGCTCCTAAGAGACAACTCCAAAGTGAGAGCAGGGCTGCACCCTCACTGGGCTGGGTCTGTCTGCCTCTGCCAGGATCCAAGATCCCCAAGCTCAAAGGTCAGGGGTGGTGTCATGAGCATACAGAGTGGGGACAGGAGCTGCTCAGCCAAGGTGAGACACCTCCCCTTCCCAGCTTCCTGGGTTAGCTGCAGCTCTGTTGGGGCTGGGTCCTCTGGCTGTTAATGCCTAATCTGGGAGCTTCAGCACTGAGAAGGAGCACTCAGATGAAGGACTGCAGGCAAATGGAGCTGCTTCTTGCAAATGGCTGCACAGATAGTACCCTGAGAGGTGGTAAGTGGACAGGCCCCTTACTGGGCAGCAGTGGGCCACCATGCATGATCTGGAACCTGGCACTTTGATGGCTGCACAAGAGTGGGATTTTCATTGTCATTAGTGGTTTGATAAACATGCAACAACATAGGAGAGAATTGTGTGTGTGAGAAGGAACCCAAGATCCTTTGACCAGCAGGCAGCCATGGATGAAGCTCATGGGTGGGAATGGTGTGTGGGGGCAGAGAGGAGTCAGAGCCTGTGGGGGAGGCGCATGACATTTATTGAATTTCAATGAGTGTAGAGGGGCTTCCTGGCAAGTTCCTGCTTTCTAGATGTCTGGGGGCCATGGGTGCCTGCCCTGCATAAGACACCTCAGTGAGGCCAGAGCTCTGTACCCTCTGCCACCTTGCCCCCTCCACCACCCCACCCTGCTCCTTGGACACCCCTAGGTCCCTCCACTCTTGGGCACTCCCCACAGGTTGCAGGAAAAGCATCCGATTCCACATGTGACCAGGGGGTGGAAATGTGAGCCAAGACAGCTCAGGCTCTGGGGGAAACTGAGTCATCAGGACTGGTGAGAGGGGAAGGTCCCAGAGCACAGGGGACAGAAGGTCATAGGAAGTGCTACCAGAGTCAAACCAACTCAAAACACAGTCACTCTGACACAGAGGAAGGAGTTTCTAAAGTGTCACAGATAGGATCACACCAAAGCAGTAAATTAAAAAGCTGCATGCCAGTGCATGAAGACTGAGACAGCTGAACTAACTTGGAGCATGTGCGGCAGAGTATGCAGATGGCTCTGCTCGTGTGGCTACAGCACGGGGCATCTCTGTTTGTTAGTAAAGAAAATGCTCTATTCATATCTGCAAGGAAGGGCAGGTGGTCTATACAGTGTGTGAGGCTGCGGGCTTGAGCAGTCAGGTGCGAGGAGTGGAGGATCCTGGGTAGGGTTAGAGTGCGCCCATCCCGGTGACCTCGGACGTCAGCCTGAAACAGATAAAGGCACAAACAGACATGTTACAGCCTTTTTAGAAGATGGATTGAAGATGAAACAACAGGGCACACAACACCCTCACAACCTGATATACATCTGTTTTTGGGTAATAAACTATACTGAGTCGCTATTCAGTGGCACATGCCAGCAGGAGGAGGCCAGCAGACCAGAACTGGGGGGCCTTCTTTCCTCCTGCCCCCTGGGACCTGGCCTGCCTGACACTGTGTCATATTCAGACCTTCTGGTGATAGCCTTGGGCCAATGGCCAAGCAGACACTGAACTTGCCCCTTGCAGATACTCTAGCCTTCTGAGTCTCACTCTCTGAATCTGTCACTGGAATAGCTGTGACATGGGTGAGCGCCTCTAGACACCCTGAGCTCAGTGCAAGTAGGGCTGCTGCTGATGCAGTTGGGGCAGACCAGGGCAGATGTTGGTAGTGTCCCTGAGCCCTGTTCCCAGACTCACTCCAGGTTTGCCAATATCACACACTACCTAGTCCCTGTCCTCTGGGGCGGGGCGGGCCCACGGAGGGAAAGAGAGATGGGAAACGGTGAAGTCGGGGGCTGTCCGTGTGTTCCCTGTCCAACCCCTTACTCACTTCCCTAGGTGGCCTGGAGTGTGAGCTGGGGTTCCATGGGAAGGGCACCCACAGGAGTCACACAGCCCATGCAGGGATGCACCCACTAGTTGGTGCCATTGGCCTCTTCTACTTGCAGCTCAGGCCTCTTGGGTTGGGGTAGGCTCCTTAGCAAGTGGGGACACTGTCCAGTACTCCTGGACCAGTTTGCATGGACTGGGTCAGGGTACATCAGGGTTTGCACCCTGAAGACCTCTGGCTCTAAACTTCCTGTTCCTCACTGGTGACTTACCAGGTGAGTGGGTTGGCCTGTGTTTATGTGAAAACTGTCCCCATCACATTCTATCCCATGTCCAGCCAGGAAGGAAAGCATGACCTGGGCTCCTGTCTGCTTTTACCTTGTCTCAGCCAGAAGTGAACTGCAGGCTATGGCTACTGAACCCCTCAAAGGGCCCTAAGGCCTGGGAGTCACACACCTGGCATTGATGAGATACTGGGCAAGGCTGATGTTGGCCGGGGTTCCCGTGATGGTGATCTGACGCTCTGATGACCCTTCTGTGGCATTGGCGATTTTGATTTGAGCTCCAGACATCTGTCGAATTTCATTGATTTTGGTCCCTTGGCGTCCAATTATACAGCCTATTAGCTAGAGGAAAGAACAAAAGGATTCCTTAGAGAAAAGCCCACGACAGCCCCATCCAGGCACCTGCCTGAGCCTTTGGATACCCACAGGAATGGGCACTATCCTCAGTGTCCACCCACACTCATGAACTCAGTGTTCCCAGAAGGAAGAGATCCTGCCGAGCCTTGTCACAGGAGGGCCTGAACCTGGGATGCCCATTAGGGGCCTGGGCTCTTACTCCTGAGCTCACTATTGCCTGTTTAGTTCCCTCCTGTGAGAAATCCACCAGGCCAGGAAATGGTCACATAGCCTCATCACAATCACACTGGTTTTCTCCATCCTGGCCAGAAGTGATCTGGAGATAGGCAGGGCAGATGTTGAGCAGGAGGCCCACATGTCGGGTCAGTAACTTCCTGCTACACTCTTAGGGCGAGGACAGCTATGCCAGAGAGAAAGGTCAAACACTTGTGTTAAAGTATGAACCTTACTGCTGTTGAAAACCTGTCTGTGTGAACTCACATGATGTTCTGAACACATCAGGCGCTTCCTTTCCTTTCCACTTGGTGTCCTTTTTTTAAAGACGGGCAAGGTGACGCATGGTTAGGTGGTCAACAGGCACAAGGGCCATCTCTGAGGTAGCCCAGAGACAACAGCAGGTCTCCGGGCATGGGGCACACAACCTGGAGGAGGTCTTCTCTACAGCAGCAACTGGAGCTTCACAGGATCCTCCCAGCCTACTCTGCTGAGTGGTAGGGACAACTTGGACACCAGAGAAGGTTGCAAAGGAGCTTGCTAGCATCGACTTTTACCACTGATGAATGGAATCCCCACATCCACACAGCACTGTGAGTGCTCTGGAGTGAGGACAGGAAAAGGAAGTGACCAAGTGGCTGGCTGAGCACAGGCAGACACTTGTAGGCCCCAGTGGCCTGGGCACTGGCCCAGGGGTAAAGGCTCTGATGAGACAGAGGGCTAGAAACCTGCGCTGTCTTTATGTAGTGAGACATAAGATGGAAGGGGTGGGGATGGGCTGAAAGAGCATTTACAGGAGGGAGAATCCACTTCCAAACCTGCATAGCAAACAACAATTCACCTGGTTGGGGCAAAGTGCCACAGGAGCTAGCTCTTGTCCTGAGAAGACCTATAGACTCTCTGCTGTGCTCATTTTTAAGGCCATGTCTCCTGGTTACATAGGTTACAACCAGTTCTCTCACTAGACTGTGACCAATTGGTCTTTGTGAATGTGAGTGAAACCTGTTCCAGAGAACCCAGAGCTGTTCAGTTTCCTGTCTCCTGCCTTCATCTGCTTACACCTGTGTTGTTGTTCTAAGATGCCTGACCCCCAAGATCAGGGAGGGTAGCTTCCTAAACTGCACATAGTCCCACTAATCTGTGTGGCTATGTCCTCCTACCTCTCATAGAAAGACCTCAAGGCTTGTCTCTGACCAGAGCCAGTCAAGGCAGCCTTTGGAACTGGGAGCAGGAGCAAGGCCTGCACTGAGGGAGAATATGATCAACCCAGGGGTGACATGAGTCCCTGAAGATGCCAATGAACAGGAAGGTGCACTGCTGAGGGCTAGGACCCCACTGTCCACCTGGCTACTCTGTGGCTAGCTCTATTTTCTGACACCACTTGTAGATCTCACAACAGATTGCATGCTGTACTGCTGTCCTCTTTCCCTCCAACAGATCCTAGAAGAAGTTATCTCCCCACTGGTACTGAGTACCCATACTCCACACCAGGAGCTTGGGCTGCTCTCTCTCCCGGGCTCACACCTTCAGGCTCTAAGTTGCTGCACCTGTGTGTGTCCCTGAGCCTTTCCCCTCCACTCACACCTGTATGGTTTAGAGCTGAAGGGAAGTTGGCTGGTGGTAGAAGCATGCCTGGGTCCCACCACAGGCACTGGGTGGGCACTGCCCTCGAAGTTAGAGAGGAGTGTGAGAAGTAGATCTCCCTCCTCACTAGCCCTACCCTGGGCAGGTTCCTTTAGTGCAGAGGAGAGGCCATGGCCTCCCACAGACCAAAGTGGGCTCCCACCCAGCTTCACAGGTACATGTAGCCCGGAGCTCACGCTGCTTTCACCCTTGCATCCCTCCATTGCAAATTTAAAAGAGTTATGGAAATGTGCTGAGGCCCCAGGCCTCAGGCAAATCCCACAGGACCCAGGGCAAGCCTCCTGCCTAGCCTCCTCTGGGAGCTGTGTGGGATGTTCTAGCTTCTTTCCCAGCTGAAGCCCCAGGTAAGCCTGCACTTCTGGATCAGGGAAAGGTCAGCACTTGGTGCTCAGGGAGGAGCACAGGTGCTCTGAGCATTGTAGATGTTGTGGTCAAGAGCAAGCTCTGAAGTAGTGACTCTCAGGAAGGGACTGGCCTGGCCTGTGGACCTGATATCCCATTGTCTAGTGCCTTTCTGAAGATGAGCTGAAAAGACCTGTGAACATCGGCCTGCTGCAACCATGACCAGGAGATGGACCTGGACGTGGGGATGGGAAGTGTCAGGACAAACATGTTTTATCTCCTTCCTTGTTTCCAAGAAAGGGGCAGGAGGCTTCCAGGTATAAAACATTGGTTCTGGAGGACCGTACCTTTGCCTGCAGACTAGACCATCCCCATGAGGTCTGGGTGGGTGGGAGGCCACCCATGGCCCCTTCTATGCAGGATGCAAGGATGATCTCTGAGGTGCATAGGTGAAGGGAACCACTTTCCTTCCAAGGAGCAGGCTCCCCTCCCAGGGCAGGAAAGACTCCCAGGAAGATGGGTGAGCTGGGGAGAACCAGTATTCATCCATCCCATAGTGGCCACAGGAAGCAGTTGCACAGCTTTCCAAAAGAGGCCCCTACCTCTTGCTCCTTAAGTCCACTTCAGGTTTAAAATGAATGCTTGGGTTAAGAGTGCGTTTCCTGGATTTGGTGAGAAAGTGATTCGGGTGAGCACTCTATGAGAAGCCTAACCTGGCATTTTATCTCTTGGGTAAAAAGACTCTGGAGGCTGTGGGAGTCCACATGCTAGAGAAACCATTGTGAAGGGGGTGTACAAAGCCAACAACCTCTTGTTCTGTGAAGCAGGGGCAGGTGGTGTGACCCCACATCCAGGAAGGTGGTTCTTTACTGGGGCCTGTCATGTTGGGGCCTCAGAAATGCTCCTGGGAGCTGGTGGTGGGACAATGGTGCCACCTGGAGAGAGTGTCCTATACATCCCTACACAGACTGGGGAGGGAACCTGTACCTGCCTAGCAGCAGGATAGAAGGAGGTCACTTGTGCAGAAGCCCAGCCTCTAGCCAACGTGGTGCAGGTTAGAGGCACTAGCCTGGTGGCCTCATGGTCTTTCTGCTGGCCTGCTTGCTCTCTCTGGCCTCCTGTCCTCCTGCCCCACTGTCTGCCACCCACACTTGAAACTGGGGATCCCCTTGAACTCCAAAATATGTGCTTCCTATGGTTTGCTTACACAGAGGAAGTAAGGGAGGAAGGGCTCCATTTTCCTGCCTGGCTGGTACAAGAGGCAGAGTAGCAAAGGTTCCTGAAAGTCCAGCTCTAGGGCAAAGAAGGCCCCTGAACACATAAGCTGGGAAGGGGGACAGTTCCTGCATGGCCCACATAGGGACCAGGCTAACCTGGCAGCGACACTCAAGGAAGGATACGGCTCATACCCTCCATGGTCTCTTGGTCTGGGGATAATCCATGGTTTCAGAGAATGGTCCTCCCTGCTCTTAAGTCTGCCCAGCCCAAAGGGACTAAGAGTGCTAAGGGGATCTTGTAAAGCCACAACATGTAGCCTCCTGAGGGGATGAACAGACTGATGGGTACTAGATTCAGGAATCCAGATAAATCTATTAACATCCAACCAACTTTAGGTCTGTTGGAGCCACCTCACAGAAAATCCCAGATCAGGAGGGGTCTGGGCTTCTGGGCAGCAGTGTGGCAGAACCCTCCCGTGCCCCTGTTTTCCAGGACCCTGGAGCATATGCTCTGGGTCCAGCCTTGGCACCTGACTTCTGATTAAGCCTCAGGTCCCCAGTCCCCCCTTCTTGTTTGCTATCTTGGCATGTAAAATCTTGTTTGCTATCTTATGGGCATTAGACCATTAGCCTAAGAAATATATCAAACAGTGGAGGCTGAGCCATGAGGGTGTCATAGGCTAGTGTGCAACAGTCACCTTCCCATGCAAGGATAGGGGCATACTCACATCATTGGGAATGGTGAGCTCATGAGTGCTGGCCGGGGAGCTGGCATCCAGACCTGGGTACACCAAGGGGGCATAGTTAGGCTGGTTGGAAGGCTGCTCACAGTCACACCTGAAGCCTGGTCGACACTCCCCTGGGCTGGCTGAGGGGGAGGACCGGTGCAGCCTACGGCCCAGTGCCCTGGGAGCTCCCATGCCCACACTGCAACCTGACCTCCTAAATTCCTACTTCTCTCAAAAAGAAAAGAAAACTCAAACATAAGAGTGTTACACTTTTTCCTTCTGAGCTATGATTTCACTCCTGCTGTGCTTATACAATCTCTTATGACACCACGCACAGACTCCCAGGTGGGTCTTGGGCCTGGGGGGGACATTCACAGGATCTCAAGTCTCTGCAGGGTGATGCTGATGCTAAGTGTGGGTCTGTGGCCCACATCACCCTGCTGCAGGATGTTGGCAGTGGTGGCCAGGTGGTAGTGCTATTTATTCTACTTCTGATCTAAACTGTCCAATGACGGAGTGGGACAGCTGAGGCCCACTGCTTAGTTCTTCCAGTTTGGAGTAAGGAGCCCTGATACCTTTGCTGAGTCAAGATGAACTGCTAGACCCAAGGAAGGATTGTTATTTCTGTATAGATTTCCTTCTGACATTGAATAATAAGGAGCCCAGGTTTTCTTCTCTCTGTCTCTCTCTCCTCTGTCTCTCTCTCTCTCTCTCTCTCTCTCTCTCTCTCTCTCGGAGACAGGGTCTCACTGTCTAGCCAGGCTGGCCTGGAACTTGAGATCCTCCTGCCTCAGCATCCTGGGTGCTGGGATTACAGCCTGCACTAGGCCAGGCCCAGGTTTTCATCTTTGCAAGTCTCAACTTATACCACCAGATAATGGATAGCTTCTCAGAATCCAAGTGCAAACTCTTTCCTGCCTCAGAAATAGTGACAATACAGTCATGGGCCACTGAGACAGAAGCCACCATGGCTGCCCCTCTAGAGCAGTGCACTCTATGTACTCCACATCCTCATTTCTTCAACAAGATTCAGCTCAACCACAAGTCTAAAGTGGAGCTCTGCTCTTGTCTCTCCTGGACCCCACAAGGCCTCTCATATCAGAATTGCAGTTTGGCTAGGACTCCATGCTCTTGATGGTTTTCTCTCCACACAGCCCTGAGGGGTCCCTCAAAACAGCCTCAATGTGCTCTACCTCACAGTGCCTCTTACTTCCCCAGGCCAATGGGTGGGTGGCCTGCTCATTATCTTGTCTCAGTGGTCAACATGCTTACTGTCAGAGAGTGGCCTTGAGGGCAGATGTTTGATACATTAGGATCCAGGTGGCAGATGCTGAATGAATCAATCCAGTCCCAATTCTGTTATTTTTCTTTTGTGCATGTAAATCTGGAGTTTCTATTCCATATTCTCTTTTAATGATAATCTTTTAAATGCAAGTTATTTGGTTATTTAACTGTCTATATACACTCCATGAATGCAGACTTCTGAAATGTCATTTCAGTGCTCTTCTCAGTCCTGACTGAGTCCAGAGCAACAGTTGCACCTGCTGGACTTGGCATGCTTGGATTCAGGAAGGAGAGCATGAAAATAATTTTAAGAGGCACTGAAGTAAGTGGATAGTTTAAGGACAGGTCTACTTGAACTATGTGCTCTGTGGCGAGTGCTTCATCCTATAGCTGGCACAGCAGAAAAGCATCCTATGTCAGCACCTGGTGGCCACAGCCCGTATCTCTCCTCGCACACTCTCTCTTCATCTGCTATTGTGCTGGATTGTGTGTGTATTGTGTGTATGCATGTATGATTGTGTGTGTGTGCATGTATGCATGAAATTCTCCTTGAATCTCCATGTGGAGAGGATTATTACAGGGTGACATCCTGGCAGACAGAAAGCTGCAGTGCTGGCGTGTGCACATATGGCCTACACAAGTGGAAAATGCACAGCATTTCCCTCACAGGGACCCAAGGAACTCTCTCGTCACAGCCCATAGCTTCTCCAAGGGCTTTGCTTTGCTTCCCAACTGTCCTTTGTGCCCTTAGTCACAGACTCCACAGTCCACACAGCAACCTGCAGTGTCCTGGGAATAAGCAATTAAATGCAGATGGGAAGGACATGGGGACACAGCACAGACCCCTCCTCTAAGCTTTGCTCCTGTTTCTAAGGAAACACATCTTTAGAAAGCACAGGCTGCACACAGCTCAGTGGTTCTGTCTTCACTATATGCTCCTGCATGCTTACCATCATAAGAGCCAGTGACACCCTGCCTAGGCCATCTGAGAGATCACGGAGCGGCTGTACACTGTGCACGCTTAAACTTGCCGACCACTACCAGCAGGACAGACCTGCCACCTGGCTCCTGGGAGGAGCCCCAATCTCTTCCACAGACTGAACTATGAGAAGCTGCCAGTGCCGACATGGGTGCTGGACACAACTGTCCCAAGGTATGGGTGACCCTCCTCCTCTGCACACAACCCCTGGCCTGCTCCCCAGCACTGTGGTCTGTTTTACCTGACGACTGGCCCATCAGATTTTGAGCTTCTTCGGAGGAGTGTAAAGGCAGCTTTTCTCCTGGAGAGCAAAGAAGAGACAGGTTTAATGTTTTGCCCTCAAGGAGATAAGCAACGTCCCTTCAACTAGGGAAGCTCAAAATATGACTGGCCCACGCACAGCCAACGTGCATGTCTGGTGGGATCTCACTGATCACAGCCACCAGGCGGCTCAACCTCTGTGGGAGGAATGCCTACTGCAGATGCCAGGGCAGGCCATGGCTAGCCACAGGCCTGAGGCCATCCCTGGGAAGAGCAGCCACAGCTGCTGTCAGAGCACTTGCTTCAGGAGAGGATAAGATCTAGGGTTGGCTGTGTGGAAGCCTGTGCAGGAAGCACTGCCCAGGATGGCCTGTGGGCAGCTTAAAGTACTGCTATGCAAACACAGATCCTCGAAGGGCAAGATAAACTAGCCCATAATGGAGACAGGCTGACCCTGCCTGGCCTTGCCACATGCAGCCACTGTGTAAACACTGCACGATTTGGCATTCACAGATTTGACTGCACCTGTGCTACTCACTGCAGTTACTAGTTCAGAAAGAGAAAGTCCCCAGGTAAGAAGAGAAGGTCAGAAAAGGGCAGCTGGGTACGTACCGGGGAAAGCGGGGTTGGTCTGTCCGAGGGGAGGAAAGGGGGTTTGCTGCATGGCCAGCTGGTGGAGCTTGGTCAACTGCTGGGGGTAGGAGGGACATGAGAGCTAAGAAGGTTATTGTCATTGAATACAAGTCATACCAAGTTACAAACGGCAGTAACAGAACTTTGCACAGATAGGTTAGAGGGGCCATGCGGACACATGGCAGATGCTGTAGCAGGACTCAAGGACTTGGCCTGGGTGAACCTGGCTGTCAGCAACTGAGGGGCCTGAGTCAGTCATGCCTGCCCCTCACCAGGCCAGTAGAGAGGGGAGGCTCATAGGGGTTGGGAGCTCTGGGAGGGGTGTCTGAAGAATATGAAGCAGGACCAGATGGGTTTGTAAGAGCATGGCAGATTCATGCTAGCACCTACGGGGTCCAGAGAGGCAGGTCCTCAAACCTTGCACTGGCCCCAGTCCCACGGCAGGCCTTGCTCACCTCCTGGCCCATAGGCTTCACTGCAGACAAGGTGGCCTGGGGAGAGACCACCCAATGGACCTGATGGTGAAGGCTCTCATGCGGAGGCAGCCTTGCCTATACCCAATGCTGTCCTGTAGGCCACTCCTTGGCCACCAGCAGCCATAAGGCATCTTAAGGCGGGTTTGATGTATGGTTCTCTTGTCATTTTATCTGAGCCTTGCTTCTTAGATAAAGGGTATAAACAGAAGAGAAAGGTAAATGTGGCCATATCTGGCGACACTTTAAGACAAATGGGCAGGCAGAATGCTCAGAATCCTTCTACCCCAGAGCCTCTGGCTCAGAGTTGTCAACAGAGACTCCTCTCAGGTATAGGAGTCACCAGGAAGTCAGCCCAGAGCTGAGATAAATGCTCCTTCCAAGGCCCCAGCACCATGAGGCGAGGAGGGGACGCCTCTGCCTGGTCTCTCCTGACAGCCCTGAGTCGGGTGGGGCTGGACAGCTTTTGGGGTGCTGGCTGGTCACCTGACCTCTTCTTTCACAGGATGGTGTCCCATCACAGTTGGATAGGCTTGTGGCCTCTGGGATAAGCCCTGAGGCTGTGGGATATTTGTGGCTGCAGGGAAAGCCGAACTCCCTGGCCTGACTTTTCCTATGTCTGGCTCCCTCCTTTCCTCAAGAAGATGGTGAGAACAATGGGCACCTCTTAAAAGCAGCTCTACCCCTCTTGCAGGCCCCCAGCTTCTTGGCTGTCCTAAGTTTGGGCACTCAGGCTGAGCCTGCTTAGAGGAGACCTGGCTGTGTCCTAGACTTGACTAGGATGTCCAGAGCAGCTCAGGTTAGGGGATATGGTGACTGGGGTCAATTTTAGCTCTTCGGTACCCTCTAGAGGTGATGTGTGACAAGGCCAGAGTAGGGCCTGGAAGGCTAATGGTATAGCTGCTGGCTGGCACATCACATAACCCCAACTGTTGGCCCTAGGCAAATAACACCTGGTTCCCTCACGGCCAACATCTGTATCTGCCCTGTGACTCACATTGATGGGCATGTTAAATTTAGTAAGTGGATATGCGTGACAAAGGCCAGAAGAGCATGTCTAGGAGCCTAGCCATAGTGAGCCTTGGGGAGGCGCCAGGCATAGTGACCTGTGCAGATACCTGCAAGCCTGGGGTCTCCTGATAGCTGTGCTCCACTCCTGTGCACTGTTCCTCTGCTCTACTGTCCATTAGCTACGATGCCAGGCTCCTGAGGGCACAGGGCCCTCTCCTTTGCCCCTGCATGCCTAAAGACTGTGTTTGCAGGTCAGAATGGCAGAGGACATGATAAGGAAGGAAATGGGGTACCGGACCATCAGTCCGTGTGGACTAGCTGTATGGAGACAGGCACTCTAGTCTCTTTAGGCTGCCACTCCCTTATCGATAAAATGGGGTCCCAGGGTGACAGGATGGGGGCTGCCTACATGTTAGTGTGGTTAGCAATGACTATGAGCTTCCAGGGGCTTTCCCATCCCTGCTGCCCACAGGCTCCGTGGCCTCACCTCCTACTGGTTACATGGTGATGTTCACCCACCTGGGCTGGTTCCAGAGCCTATGGCCAGTGGGTGACAGGAAACAAAGTGACTGGCTCCTCTTGTGTCCAGATGCTGATGTTCACAAGCTCAGCAATTCTACAACTATAGCTCCTCCTATCTCAACACACTTTCTGCTTTTTGTGAAATGCCCACACTAGCAAATAAATGCCCCCAACCCATGAATGTAAAGTATGTCACAGGGACAGGACTAGGCCAGCGGGTAGCAGTGCTAGGAGGCTGGGTGGGTAGAGCTCAGCTGGCATCCTTCTCTTCTTGGCTTGGTCCTGCTTTGATCAAGCTGGTTCACTTCTTTGGGACTCAATTTCCATATTTTTTAAAGGAGGGACCAGAACTATGTGCTGAAGGGTCTTCCACATTTTGAGAAAATTGTCACTTAAAAAAAAATGAATTTTGGCTCCAGTGCCTCCAAATCATCAGGAGGGAAGGGATACAGGATGGAGCAAGAAAAGGAAGGAAGGCAGCAGATAGGAATGGAGAAAGGGAGGGAAGGCACCACACCACAGAAATTCCCTGTGACTCTCTTTCCATTTACGTTGTGCCAGAATACAAAATATAAACATGCCTTAAAACTATAAGCAGCTGTAAGAATGAAGCTCAATGAATCATCACAGAGAAGTGCCCAAGAAAGCATGACTACTCCTAAACCTGGAAGTTCCCCAGGGACTCTACCTGCTCTTGCATTTCCACTCCTGGGAAATGCTTACAGGTATCTTTTGCCCAATTTTCTTACTATCCTGGTTGCTGCTAACTCACCATGGCTCCTTGTGGTTCAGACACTGATCCTATTTCAGTAGTTGCACTGCACAGACCTTTCCTGTCTTTTGAGAAGCAGAATTATAAAACTATAATGTGGCAAAATTCATGAACATTTTCCTTTTTGGTCTGTGCTTGTGTTTTCTTTACAAAATACTTCCCTGACTCAAGAACAGAAGTACGTTCTCCTATCTTTTCTTTTAAACTTGCCACATTTTTCTTGACCTGGTGGTCTGGATATAGAAGTATGACTTTTGATTCTCATAAATGCCCCCACTTTCTCCTGGGATGTTTCATGTTTGGCATCACTTGTGGATGTTCCCATCTCTATTGGGGTCACTGAGAGCAGGTCTGCTTACCTATGCAGCTCAGACCCTGGGCTCTCTGTCTAGAAACTAGCCATCTCATCTACTGCTCTGTTGTCTCTCCTGCATCCATGCTATACTGTCTCAGTTACAAATCTCCCTCTTTTTCTGACGGGTATCTTGATTCTTGACCTACGCTTTTCCATATAAATTTAAAACAGCATGTTAACTTCTTTAAAAAGCTTTTTTAGGATTTGGATTGGAAATGTATTGCATTTGCACATCAATTTGGAAAGAGCTGACATCTTTGTGATACTCAAGAGTTTCTATCCATGGATATGGTATGTCTCCCCATTTAGTTTGATCTTTTGGTCTTCTTTAACTTTCAATAAAGGCAAGTTTTTAAAAAATCACTTTTTCATTAATTATTTTAAACTAATCTGTGATAAGAAAGTATAGCCTCTATGATTCCAAGTTTTGAAAGAGACAGACTTGATCAAGTTTTATAACTGTTTCTAGGAATTATACAGCTGTGTTGGGTATACTGTTCAACAAGTCAGTTGTACCACTCACTCACTCACCTATGGAACGATGTCTGTCAAATTCTCCACCAGGTTTCTTTTGGTTATATTTTCCTAACATACCTGTTTCCAGTCTTTTGATTTTGAGAATCCTAATGCTTTAGGTGTGTCTCTTGAAATAAAAAAAATTACAATTCCTCTGTTTTTGTAGTTTGCTTGTCTGTTTAGCTTTTATGAAAAAAAAATACAGTCTGATAGCCTTTGTTTGTAGCTGGAAAATTTACTTTGACCATAGTTACCCATACATTTAGATTAATTTCTGCCATCTTTTTTTCTGCTTTCTAATTGTCCTGTTTTTCTTTTGTTCACTCATTTTCTCCTCTGTACTGCTACAAACACTAGTGGTGGTCACTTTGAAATTTTAACACATGTATTGAGGGTTTAAATCCCATACATTTGCCATCTAGTGGAGGGATACAATGACCCACCCAATGTTTTAATCTCCTACACCCACACCCTAATCATATGTGTACTATTTCTGTCCACTGATTGTTATGTGAATCCCATCAATTAGAGAACATTGATAGTGATTTCACACATTATGTTTGTGTTTATTTTCCCAAATGCCTACCATTTTTTTTTGTTCACCATTCCTTCTTACAAGTTCAGACTTGTTCTGAAAAAATTTTCCTTCTTAAAGGGCATCCATTACAAGGTCATTTACTGTGAACCTGTTGGTCTTTGCTATTGTCTACAAATTTAAGACCTTGGTGGATTCTCTCAATGTAGAATTTTATGATGATAATAATTTTCCTTCCTTCCTTCCTTTTTTTTTTCTTTTTTTCAGAATGGGAGCTAGAACTCAGGGCCTTCACCTTGAGCCACTCCACCAGCTCTATTTTTGTGAAGGGTTTTTTTCAAGATAGGGTCTTGTGAAATATTTGCCTGGGCTGGCTTCAAACAACAACTCTCTTGATCTCTACCTCCTGAGTAGCTAGGATTACAGGTGTGAGCCACCTGCGCTCGTTTCTTTCTTTCTTTCTTTTTTTTTTGAACTCAGGGCCTGTACCATTTGAGCCACTCTGGCCTGGATACACCTGCATATGCTTCCTGTGTAGTTGGGATGACAGGCATGTGCCACCGTGCCCAGCTTTTTATTGGCTAAAATGGGGTCTTGCTGTTTTCAGAGCTGGCCTGAAACCACAATCTTCCCAATCTCTGCTTCCGAGTAGCTAGGATTACATACATGAGCCACCACACCCAGCCTGGCAGTCATTTTCTTTTACTATATCAATATCTTCTGGCTGCTATTGTTGCTAGTGAGAAGTCAACTGAATTTCTGTTATTCCTTTGTAATCTTTTTTGTTTTTTTTGACACAGGGTCTTACTATGTAGCCCAGACTGGCCTCAAACTCAAGGTCCTCTTGCCTCAGCCTCCTGAGAGCTGGGATTACAGAGGTGTATGACTACACCTGGTACCTTTATAATATTTTTATTCTCCCTGGTAACTTTGGTCTTTGGTGTTATACAGTTTTATTTTGGTATTTCTAAGATGAATTTTTGTTTATCCTGTTTAGAATTTGTTGGGCTGTCTGAATCTGAGAATTGGTTTCTCCTATTAATTTTGGAAAATTCTAGGTTGTATCTTTAAGTGTCCCACTCTATCCTAGTGTTTCCTGGAACTCCACTGGGATGCACATTCTTCTGTCAGTCCTCTTTACCAGTGATTTCATATGCAAACAAGTCACACATGAGGCAGAGCCTGCTCAGAAGAGGCAGGTGAAGGAAGGGTGCCAGAGTCATGTCACTGAACAGTTCAGCAGGAGCGGGCCCTTGCTTTATTCCTTTGACCGAGAGGGCAGGTAGGAGGGGAGGAAAGGCTGTACTCTTGTTAGCAGAGGGGTACCCTGGGCCTCCTCTTCTGTGAGGTACAGTTGTTGCAACTTTGCCTGGTGGCATGTGGAACCAGGAGAAGCCTCTTTAGCACTCCTGCTCCAGGATCTGGGGCAGAACAGAGGCTCAGAACCAAGGAGGGATGGTGTCAGCTGGTGACCACTATCAGTAGGAAGGACACCTTCACCCTGCTGGTGGGATGTGGAGGTACGTGAACACTTGCCAGGCTGCTGAGTGGTCATCCCAGAGACCTGGACATGAGGATACATGGATACCTTCTCAAGCTGCTGAGTGATCATCCCAGAGACCTGGATGTGAAGTAGTATGGACACTTTCCCAGGCTGCTGAGGGCATGGTTCCAGGTTCTTTCAGCCGTCTAGCAGCACTTCATGCCTCTTCATAATGCCTGAACTGTGAGAGCTCAAGAGGTGCCCAGAGGATTTGGGTAGATTAGCACAAGTGGTGTGTGGTTAACTGGAAACAACTGAGGGTGGGCAGTGTTGATGATTCTAAACAAGTGCCAGCTCAAAAGCATTGCTTAAAATTAGGTGTGGGAAACATGCATATTCTCATTCTAGATAATGAGATCTAAGCGAAGAATCTCCCGATAGTTTATGTGTTTATGTGTCTGATTTATGGCCTGCATATTCAAGTAAGGAATTAAGCTGCTGCAAGATGTATACATATACATACACTTATATATACAAGTGTGAGTGTGTGTCAACCACTTTGGTTGACATGAACTCTGTACTTAATTATACCAACAAAACAATGAACATTTCCTATAACTGTATTTGCGTTCTAAGAAATTGAAGCTTTTAAAATTCCTACTGGGCTGAAGGTAGGAATTCAAGTGGTACAGTACCTACCTAACAAGTACAAGGCCCTGAGTTCAAACCCCAGTACTGCTGCCCTCCAATTCCTATTAAGTACTAAGTTCAGCTAAAAATTGTATCCTAGGCTGTCATCATCTATGTCACTAACAATAATTTTACTTTTGTCTTATATGGATTATTTGAGTGACTGCCCAAGTCTTCAGTTTTATGTGCCTGCAAGAAAGGCACTTTTGGAAGTGTCACGACTTGCTCACAAATCACACGGTTTTACTATAAAACATGATGAGCTGGGCACTGGTGGCTCACACCTATAATATTAGCTACTTGGAAGGCAGTGGCTCGAGGCCACCCAGGCAAATAGTTCAGTTCACAAGACCCTATCTTGAAAATACCCAACATAAAACAGGACTGGTGGAGTAGCTCAAGTGGTAAGAGTGCCTGCCTAACAAGTGTGAGGCCCTGAGTACTGCCAAAACAACAACAACAACAACAAAAAACACCAGGATGACTTCCACAGAAATCCTTCTCAAGATAAATAACTAAGGTGTGGTCCAAACCTGCTTCTCTAACAAAATACCTTAGACTGGATAATTTATAAACACCATGAATTTACTGCTCACAGTTAAGGAGGCTGGAAGTCCAAGATCAAGCTGCCAGTAGGTTCTCTGTCTGGTTGAAGGCCCATCTTCTTCCAAGACAGCACCGTGAACACTGTGTCCTTATATTGTGGCAGACAGAAGGGGGTGGCAGCTCCTGAAATCCCACTCGTGAGGTGAAGCCCTCAAGACCTAATTACCTAGCAGAGCCCCACCTCCTAACACCTCTGTGATTAGGTTTTGAAGGGACACATCAGAGCACCAAGTTGTTCAAACCTCACCATCCACAAGAAGCAATTTTAAGAGTCAGGTGTACATTAGCTTAAACTAACATGAAAAAAATCTTTATACTGCCCATTAGAGATACTGAGAAGAGACATATGGGAAAGAAAAACAACCCATCAACACAGAAACGAAGCAACATGCTAACAACCTGTGCCTGTACCACAGCCTTTGCAAACCTCAGACCCAACCATGCTTCTAGAGACGCCATGATCCATGTTTTGTGCCTCAGGAGGAGCAGTGAGAGCTTAGATTCCTCCGCCACAGAAAATCCACAGGGCATTTGCTAATCAATCCTTGCAGTCTGAACGTCTGATCACTGTCTGGAGAAAAGACAGATAAACCCTAACCTCATCTGTTATTGGCCGCTTATCGGGTGCCAAATGGTGCCCTTTGAGTTCTAGAGCTTCACCAATCTCCAACAGCCAGGCTTTTGAGTCTGCCTCTGCATTCTACGTGCATGGGGTCACCCTTCCAGGCAGCACAAGAAGCCTGGGTCATCCTGGAAGTTGCAGTGCACATACTCTGCTTGCACTCAGCACTGCCAGCCAAGGGCAGGCCAAGAGAGGTCCTTGTGGTATGTTCTGGTCAGGGGAACATGGTGGGTAGGCACCAGGTGGCTACTGGTAGATGTCTATGATAATGACCTGAGAGCGAAGTGCTGTTGATTCAGTCTCAGAAGTGTCTCCAGGTCTAAAACCAGGAGCCGTCCACATGGCCTTTGGGTGTAGGTGTGTAGGAAGGACTTTTCCCATTTGTGTTTCTCTGCCATTTGACTGTATGTTGCTTTATTAAAATGAGAAACAGTATTTGTTTTCCACTAGAGAATTTCCTTGCAATGACAATAAATTGAATTAATATTTCAATAGTGTGAGTTAATTCTTAAACTCTTTCCTGCCCTGCATGCAAATCATATAGGTGAGCGTCTCTATCTTGTAAAGGGTCTACAGGAGTCTGGTGGGCCTAGCTGGCTCCGTGAGCAGCCACCTCCCTGGCCAGGCCTTGGGTTCTCTCTGAGGTCAGAGAGCAGCACATAAAGCAAGTGTTCAAAACAGGTTAAGAAGAGATACCTTAGGACTACCTTGTAAGGCACTGTGGCTTCCCAGCTGGCTAGCAATCTTTTTCCTTCTCTCCTCTACCTTCCCTGGCTCCTGTTTTCCTAACACTTCCTAGCATAGTCCCATTGCCCAGGGTCTCTAAAGACTCTCTCAAGAATGCCTTCTGCTCAGAGCTGCCACATTTTCTCTCTTGCCCCCAACCCCCCAAGCTTGGAGCTCCCATAGCCTGAATGCCACCTGTTGTCCCTCTGCACCCAGGTCTCCACAGGAGAGCTACTGGATATAGGTTAAGTGCAGACTAGGACTCTCTTCTCCATAGGCTTCTTTAGGAGTCTTTATCCTCCAACACAGATTGCACATCAAAATGTCATGCTGCCAGGAGATTTCTGAGTAGACTCTGGTCACAGGGCAGCGTGACAGGCCCAGTTCTAGAAGTCTAGGCAGGAGCCCTGGGACTCCCAAGTCCCTGTGTAGCATCTCACTAACTCTGGAAGGAAAATATGGGTCTGCTGGCTATTAACACTTGGGTCTCTGTACGTGAGTAGACTCCATGCTTCAGTTTGGGCTCCGAAGGGGAGAGTTTAGCTTTCCCAAGTGCTTACATGCTCTTCCTGGGCATCTCAGAAGGCTGGTTTGATAACTTTTTTTAGGTAATGGCAAAGCACGAAATACATCCTGGCAACAGGTGGATGGCTCCTCCCTGCCAGCCTGGCACGTGGCACCTATGTTACTGAGGGGAGGGGAACAGAGCTGTCTGCAAGTCTGAGACTCATGTGTGGGAGAGAAACCCTGGACTGCAGCAACAAAAACAATTTTTCATCAGGCCAAGTCCTCAACACAAGCAGAATTAGTGCTAGGAGGTTAAAAGGTTATTCAAGGTCATATGGATACAACATAGGTCAGGGGTACCAAGAAAACTGATTAATATTATTGTATAATATTAATATTAGTAGCATTTAACAGCAGCATGCAGGTAGGTACACAATAATGAGAGAAGGGAGGAAGGGAGACAGAGTGAAAACTCACATCCGGGTGGGGGATGGCATACTGTCCCTGGATAGTGTAGGCCTGGAAAAAGAGAGAGAGAGAGAGACCTTCAGATCCATGATGTGGTGGGACCTTGGCTTGTCACCTACTGGTAACCCTCCTCTGCATGACAAAGATACTCTGGTGCACTCAATGTGCATATCTAGCTGCTGTTATTGTGTAGAACAGGGGCCAACCCTACCAGGGACTGGGAAACCTGAGTTACAAACAGATCAGTGAGACTCAGGAAGCTGTGCCCTCCCTAAGCTTTGGAAAGCTGGGTGGCCAGTGGGCCTGGGTGCTCCTGACACTCACCCCCAACTTTTCTGAAAGAAAAAAAAAAAAAAACTAAGGATGATCCGTTTGACTTCCCAGGAAGAGGCCTGCTGATTATTAAGCAGCCATCAGAGTAAATGCTTTTGGGAAATATTTACCCAAGACATCCAAACAAACAGAAAAGCAGCTGTACTCAGATCCATTGTGACAGGTGACCAAAACCAGTTTTGCCACAGCAGATTAAGAAATGGATCTAAATGTGTCACAGAACTGACCCAATCTATCATCTTTCTTATCAAATCTTCAGTGACAGCCCTGAAGATGGGAGGCATCCATCCCAAAGGGCCAGTGTGTGAGGTCCCCGAGGTTCATTTGGTTTGTTTCCCTGGCTTCAAATCTGTGACTGAGCCAACTGAAGCAACTGCCCACCCCTATCCCTGCCCAGCCTTGCTCTAGAGCCCCAGGAGAGGCAGAGGATCCCACAGGTCACTTCAGCTAAACTGCCTCTGGCGAGCCACACAATCAACAAACCACATGGAGTCAAGGGAGAGGAAGAGCACAAAAGAGTTGTCCCGACTCAGGGAGTACCACAGTGGCCTGGGTTGAGGCACGGGAGTGAGGACATGGCTTCCAGCACCTGGTTGATATGGACATGTGATGCCCAACTGTGTGGCCACCCTCAGGGTCCCTGAGCACTTGACAGGGACATCTCAGGGGAGACCATATGTCACGTCTGTGGACCCCAGACTCTCCCAGTTTTTTTCTTTTCTTTTTTAAAAATGTATTTGCATATGTCAAGAATTTTCATCATAAATAACCCAAACTCAAGAGCTCAAGGCTAACTGACCATCCAACAGGGACCCAGCCGCAGCCCAGCCTTGAAACAGACATAGTCCTGGTTATTCTCGGCCCAGTCTGGGATGGCCTTGTTCTGCTGGTAGGGGAAGTAAAAGAATCTTATCAGATTATACAGTGTCCTAGGGAAAGAGATAAGAGTCCCAGCCTCTGTTTCCCCAGGTTTTGTGATGTTGCTACAGGGTCATGTTCCTGTGTCTTACCTAATAGAGGGACACAAGCTATCCCCACCATTCAGGCTGCTGGGTAACTTGGGGTCAGCTGCCCTCTCTGCCCTGCATGTGACCCCGGGCTATTGTTTCAACAGTTCTTTACTCCCTTCATCAGTTTTGCCTTACACCTGCACACTCTTTTGCAGGCTGTGCTGAGAGGCTGTCAGCAGAGTCAGATGCTGAGCACTTTCCATGTCTGTACCCGATCTGCCCAAGGCAACGGGTGCCCAGGTTGCCTCCTCTGGGGACTGTACTCTTGTGCACCCTGCTCTAGGGTACATGGGGGTCTAAACACTAGAGGAAACATGGGAGCTTTGCTGACTCAGGACTGATTTACAGACTCACTTAGGACTTTGTATTTTGGCTCCTTCCTGGGTTACCTGTGCACAGAAGTGACTCTCATGTGCCCATCTTCCATGCAGCCAAGGCTACCACTAGACAGACCAGAGTAAACAAAGGGCATGGTAGCCGGCTCTAAAAAGTCTAACATTTTGGTGACAGCCGCAGGGGACACTCATGGCACAATGACCTTTACTGCTGTGACTGCTACTGCCCACTTTACAGGTGAGTGGAACTGGGTGACGCTGGCCACGGTGCACCTTGAACTGGGCTGTTTAAACACTGAAGTTGAGTCCACGTGGTCCACTAACCTGCCAGGAAGTTTGAATCTGGGGAATCAATGTAGACAGAGTTTAGCAGGGGCTTAGCTGTGTGGCTGTGTGAGCTGTGCTCCCTGAGGTCACTGTGGGAGAAGGGACAGCCCCATGCTCCAGTGGCCAAGGCTGGCAAGACCCTCTCCTTGCTGTGCCTGGTTTTCTGACCTGTGAACTGGGATATACCTGGGGACAGGTGAAGGTATGTGGGCATAAGAGAGCTGCCAAGTACCTTGAAAGATCTGATAAGATTCCTTTACGTTGTGAAGAAAGACAAGAGGAAAAGTTTTCTTTGCCTTTTTCCTTCTCTTTTAATGATAAAGTAAAACCCTGTGCTCACTCTGCTCCAGCTGGGTCACCTTTTGGCAGCCTCTGTCTCAACTCTCCCTTGAACAGACACACATCACGGCCGACTGGACACAGAGCTCTCCTGGGCCAACCCCTGGCTGGCTGTGTTCAAGTCATTTGTGTGGACAGGTTGTAATGACCTGAAATGGGCAAGTGACAATAGCTAAAAAGGGCCTCTCCTCCCTACCAGGCCAGCATGGGCCTCAGACACAAGCTCCTCTCCTCCCTAATCTTCCAGTCCCCCTTCTCTGGGGAGCAGAGGTTGGTGACTAAAATCCACCAGGACCAGGACTGTAAATATGGAACATTTTCTCAGGCAAACAAGGAGGAGTAGGGGAGGGAGTCCCAGCCATCACAGGGTGATGAAGGGGCTTGCCTGCCGGCTACCCTTCCCTGCTCTCATGAGTGCGCCCAGCTATTCCTTCTCATGTGTGCCTGCTATGAGTGCATTGTGGGGTCTGGGAACATGTATTTTAGGGCAAAATGGGACTCTAATTCTGACGGTCCTCCCTGCTTCCAGCACAAGCCATCAAGTCACCCAGAAGGCTCCTGTTCCTGACTATCTCAGATGCTCAGGGACATTTACGGGCAAGGTCTAGCAGATGTTGCCCAGGCAGAGCCAGTTGAGTGTGGAGGTGAGGATCCTTGCTATCTAGGTCAGGGGCCTCACTTGGGAGGCCCTTGGGTATCTTTCAGTCACCTCTCTGAGCTCTGGCCTATGTCTCCTTGTGTCTTTGTTCCCTCCTCACCACCTGGTGTGGGCTAAGAGAGCTCTGTGTCCGGTGTGGGGTGGGAGGCGTGCAGTGAGAAGGCGAGAAAACCTGAGTGCACTAACGGGCAGCGGCGGGTGCTGCAGTAAAAGGCTGAGGTTGGCAGTGGAGGCCGCGAGTGGGTCGGCTCTTACCTGACCACCTGCAAAAATGACAGGGGTGGAGGCGGGCTTTGGGCGGTAGGGAATGGTGGCACCTTTCGGTGGGGACTAGGAAAAGGGACAGGAGAGGGAGAGAGACGTTAGAGCAGCCGGCCACTTGCCTCAGGCCGCCTTCCCAAGTCCACCCCTCTGCACAGACCCCCAGTTCCAGATGTGGTTCCACAGTCCGCAGCAGAGTGGGGAGGGGCTGTCCATGGGGCAGCAGATGAGTCGGCCCTTGCAGCATGCAGGCAGGAGGTGGCACCCTGCATCTTCACCACCCATCTCCTCTGGAGGATGGATGGCTTGTTCTTCCAAGCGTGAACTCTGCCACCCGCCCCAACTGGCCTCTGTGGCTGCCCATGGCAGGATGCAGTGGCTCTGCAGCAATATGGGGTATCCATCTTGGAGGCCAGCTGGGGTGGGTCACCTGCTTGTGGACCCTTCCAGGGACAGCTGGCCTGGATGGGCTCTCATTGTTGCAGCCCCCTTCCTCCCAGTGCAAACCCTCAAGGACCCAATGTACACGGCACTACAAGACAGGGACAGTGGTGGCTTTGCAACAGGCATGCAGCCTGCATCCTCTGATAGATGCTCTTGAATCCCTGGAAGACACTGAGCCTTGTGCACAACCCGTTTCGGGAATTGATATCTAGTGCTCCAAGGGCTCTGCTTGGTCTGTGGCAATGTTCAGTAGAGATTGCCACCAAAGTGTAGAAACAACCAATTTCAAAATTTTGAAAAAAGAGCCATTTTTTAAAAAAGCTTGCAGAGGCAAAATGAAAGATTCTGAAGTTGTGATGTGTCCTATAATTTTCCTTGGTTACTTTGTGGCTAGAATATAGAATTGTTATCTCAGGTGAACGTTGTTCTCAGGTGCCAGCCTTTCCCATCTAACTCCCTCTGTCTTGTCAGAGCTGGTCAGCCACCTCATCCTCTGATGGCCATGTTCCCAGGGAAAAGAGACTAGGACTGCACTGGCCTGCTTATGGAAGACAAGGCCAGAATCATTAGCTATGCATCAAAGGACAGCCCATACCTGCGAGGGGCTCTGGGCTACAGCCTAAGAGCCTGTTTGCTATACTGCTCACCGGAAACCCACAGCAATGGAGGACATGCCCCAGAGTGGGCAGCAGCATCAATGGAGTCCAGGCTGTGTTGCATGAGCTTGCTGTGGAGTGGGGTAGTTCTGAGTGGGCCCTCAGGGAAGGCCCATCTTTCTCATTTCTGGGGTCCTGACCAAATGCCTCCAAGTGCCTTTGTGTAAATGGGGCTCCCAGAGGTTTCATAGCTAGACCCAGTGTTTATGGTAGAATAGACATACCTGAGAGCCAGAGTTGACTCCTGTCCTGCCCTGTTGCTTTGCCCTGAACTGAGCTGTGTCTGTCATCCTTGCTCCATGGTGTCCTCAACTTCCATTGACTGACTGTGATTTCTAATTCATACTCCACTTGTGGAGGACAAACATTCTGGGCACAGGCTGCCAATGTCCCCAGGGGGAACCCAGGGACACAGGTCATTCCTGGCTAGGTGAGAAGGCACTGTGTGGGGCATATGGCCCATGTGTTCTTTGTAGGCCCCACTGGGCTCATCTGTCAAGGGTGGGGTCGCCCTGCCTCTGGTGATTTTTGGGGTGCAAGGTGTACCCTTCAAGTAAGCCTACAAGTCCTCTGATGGTGAAGAGGTCCTTGGAACCCTCTTATGCTGTACTTTCAGTACTCTAACGTACAAACGGATCTGACTCTGTCTATAGGGAGGACTCTTCCTCTTGGTAAGGACGGTCACTCCCTTCCAACCTCCATGAATTGTGACAGGAATCCCTGCCAGGCCAGCACCCACTGCTGACATCTGTATGGGCATGTTACTGTTTCATACTTTATGCCTTCCAGAGGAGACAAAGTGGTTCTAATAAGTAACTCTTATGCTGACCCACAGCCACAGTTCCCACCTTTTTTAGGGGCCCTGGCATCTTCCTATCACCATTAGGCTGACAGCCCACTCAGGGAATTTAACAAGGCCACAATTCTGTCCTGAGCAGCTGAGTCTCACTTGGATCAGGGAGATAGGGAGGTGGTATCCCTCATGGAATTGCTGCCACCACTCACTGCCATTCTGAGGGTATCTGCCACACTTAACAGAAGGTGTGTGTTTCTGCCTCCTGGGGCATGTGCCAGTGCAAGTTGCTGTGGGCCTCTGCAAGTGATCTTCAGCCACCTCCTGGGGCAGCAGCACCCTGTCTCCCTGACCAGTGTGTAGGAAAATTGCAGAATAAGAATATTCTGAAAATTATTTTTGGCTTCATAAAATATCATATTTCGGGAAAACAAAACAATGAAAAAAATGTAAAGAGTTAAACATAAGGTTTGAACATAAAGCTGAGTACAAAAAACAGGTGACCAGACAGCTGCCTAATGAGACTAGTTCTGTGAGAAATGTAGAGGCTGGCTGCCCAAGGACCCTTGAGAGTCTCTTGGCTTGAGATGGGATTGCATCAGTAGCTTCAGCAAAGACCAGAACTACTTACTGATGCTTCTGTGAATTTTCTTCCTTTGTGTCAATACACTGAATTTAAATTGGAGACATCAGCAGCCCTGCCCCTGGGTGCCTGCTCACTCGGCCTGGCTCTTGCTCAGAATCCTGGGAAGCTGAGGCCAGGTACACACCCACTTCTGATGCCCCTGCACAGCTCCAATCAACCATGCAAGTCCTCAGGACAAGTAAGGCACCCGAGGTTTGCAATAATGCAAGCAAGGGAGCCACATGCTCAGTGTGAGCCCAGGCACTGAGCAAGAGATGGGCTGGTGATGTGTGCTGGCTCACGACGCACAGACTGTACCTCCAGCATGACCACACAGATCTGCTTGACGCACTGGATGATGGCGTCTGGTGTCCCTGAGATGGTCACTGCCCGCTCTGTGGAGTTGGGCAGCATGTCCCCGGCCACCTGGACCTGGGCACCTGTGGACTGGAGAGGAGGGATGTTGGAAGGGAAAAAGCAGAGTGCAAGCTGCAGCATGTATAGGATTGGCAGCACCTCTCAGTCTTGGGGTGTGTGTTCAGAGCAGTTTGCACACAAAAATTGAGGCCTTGTCAGCACCCTCCCTCCCCTATGTGTCACCCCCCTGATACCTTCCCTCCATGCCTGCCTCTGCACATCCCCTCAAGAAGCTGTGACTCCTTAGGCAGGTGCTATCCTATTCTGGGGAGCATGTGGTACAGGAAGTCCTGAACTTGAGGAGGTATGTCTACAGGAAGAGGGGATGGTCTTTCTAAACACAAAGAACTCTACCTCCTGCAGGGAGTTCTAGGCCACAGAGAAAGAATCCAGAAAGGGTGACTGCCCTTGGGTAAGGGGAAAGGCTCAGCATTCCCTGAAGTCAGATGCGAGTGACTATCAAGCATCATTCCAGGAGGTGGACCCTGGTGGCCGAGAAGGCATCTCATAGGAGTGGGAACCTGAGCCCAAATGTAGCCTGGAGCTGCAGAACTGGGGTGCTACAATCTGCTTGTTCCAGGAACACCCCTCTGCCCAGCCCCAGCAGGGCCACTCCCTACCCAGGCCACTGTGGACCTGTGAACATGTCAGGGCTCCCCACATCCCACTATCATCTGCTTATTGGATTGTCTGTCCCTGTCACACATCAGCTTCAGGTTAGCAGTAACCAGTGCCTGGGCTTGCAGACTGCGTAAGGGACAAGCAACAAGATGGCTGGACCACAGCTGCTGGGACTGTCCTCTGATCCTGAGTGAGGGAAGGTCCTGGTACCTCCCTGATCTCCTTGATCTTGGAGCCGCCCTTGCCGATCAGGGACCCGCACTGGCTGGCTGGGACCACCAGCCTCAGCGTCACCGGGGGCTTGCTGGTGGCAGGGCTGTTGCTCATGGAGTTAATGATGTCCTAGGGAAGAAAAGACTTGTGTTGGCTCCACATTGCTAAGCACAGCTGTGAGATTCGGGGCATCTCTGTCTTATTCCTGTAGGGATGCACACTCAGAAGAGCTCACAGAGCCCCTCCCTAGATGGAGAAGGGTTGTGGAGGATAGGCTTGGAAGTCTCAGAGCTTTCAAAGTCAGGTCAGGCTTGGGACACAAGGACATGTTGGACAGAGGACAGAAGGGACCTTGCATGTGCTGACCACAAATGCCAGATTTATAAGGCTGTGTTATCAGTGAGTTGCAGGGAGACAGATAGACTGTTCCAGTGCAGCAGCCTCACCAGGGCACACAAGTCAAAGTCTTCCTTGTTCAGTACAAAGCTTACTTTAGAGTGCCAGCCACATCAAGAGGTGGCTAACCCCTTACCACAGCCAGCTCTTCACATGTGGCCAGAGCTGCTCCATCTGCTGTGTCTGGAAGGCTTGTTCATTTCTGCATGTCTGGACCCAGTTTCCACCCAGATGTGGCACCCTGCCTGTTGCTCAGCTTGTGTCTGCATGCTGCTCTCTGAGCATTGAGCTACCTGGTTGTTCATCCCAAGCCTGGGGCCTGGATTTGTTACTGGTTCCCACTTGGCCTCTGGTGGACATGGGTTATACTCTTATTTCATCCCACTGGTGGCTTTGGTATCACTGCTGTGCAGCTGAAAATGTTGCCTGGCATGAGAAGGAGTCACAGTGTGGACCATAAGCTGCCATCTGCACTCACAGAATGAATGGCAGGTTTGCATTCTCCTGTACCAGCATCCACACTCTTTGCCATCACTCTTTGTCATCAGGGAAGCCAGATGAAGCTCCTTCTTCTCAACAGCCTGACCCAGACAGGCTGAACCAGACAGGCTGTCCCCTGTGGCCTGGGACAGCTGTGTTGGAGGCATGCCAGCATTACCGTCCTATTTACCTCATCAGTTCCCATGGACTACCTGTCCAAGTCTCATTTTCTTGGAAATTTCAGCCCAAACTACTCTGACCACAGTCCTGATCCTCACACCTGTCTATCTATGGTGTCCCCTACCAAGCATTACTTGGGCCTTTAGTGGCCACCTTGGGGACACTAGACTTAGGCAAAATGGTCCATTCAAACTTGTCTTACAAAAAAGTAACAAGACTTCTCAGGTCCAGTGGGTACCAGTTTTGATTGGCATGAAGAGGTTTCCAAACGAAATTCTTATTTAAAAAATCGCTTTGCTAAAAGATTCTTTCTTTGGCCAAAGTAAATAAGCAACTTGACAGATTTTAGCAACAAACTCTATGCTTGTCCAGAAGCCCTCCCTCCTTGTCCTCCAGCACTTCCTGTGCCTACCCTCATCTTTGTGATGTTTCCCCTTGACTGCACCCTTGCTTTTCCCCAATATCACTCCTAAGACCTAATGCCAAGCACCTACAGAAACCATCTGTCACGAGGCTGCAATGCAGGTGACTACGGAATAACAACCTTGAGCCAGAGCTGAATTAAGAGCTATGAATAAGGATCTTTCTAGATCCAAGGAAAACCAGCAATTGTTAGTAGACTTTTAATTCTGTTAAGAGGACCCAGGATTATCTCACCTGTGGATACTGGTACAGAAGAATGCAAATCTGCCATTCATTCTGAGTGCAGATGGCAGCTTATGGTCCACACTGTGACTCCTTCTCATGACAGGCAACATTTTCAGCTGCACAGCAGTGATACCAAAGCCACCAGTGGGATGAAATAAGAGCATGACCCATGTCCACCAGAGGCCAAGTGGGAACCAGTAACAAATCCAGGCCCCAGGCTGAGGATAAACAGCCAAGGAGCTCAATGCCTAGAGAGCAGGATGCTTGACCCTCTTCCCATAAATAAATCTAAGGGTCCTACAGAAGGGCCAAGTGTCATAAAATCCAAAAGATTTCCACTAGAAATTGTTCAGACAAATCATGCAAAGGAAAGAAGAGATTCTAGGGCAACTCCAGCCATGTGTTTAGATAGCTGCTTCCCCACCTGGCAGGACACAGGGCCATGTCAGCCTCCATGCAGCCTCCTGCAGCTGCTTCCTTAACTGTGTGGACCTCTGATCTTGCTAGTGCACCTGTGGACCAGGACAGTCCACCTCTGTGTGCCTTCACCTAGGAGATAGTGAAGTGTCTGGACAGTCAGTGGGGGGTACCAGTGTACCTCTACTTCTCCCAGGTCCTCAGGCCCACGTTTCCCACTCAAGTGATTGGGTTCTGACACAATATGTGGGATGTCATCTGCATATTGTGTCAGAACCCAATGACATCCCACCTTCTTCAGAGAATAGGAAGCCTGGACAGGATTCTTTTTAGGCTCTCAGCTTTGGCAGACCCTGCAGAGAACCCTGGCCTCACATCTTCGGAACTGAAGGAAGCCTTAACCCCCAATGTGGCTATGAAGAGATGGAGCCTTTGAGGAGATTAATGAGGTAAAAGTGGGCACTGGTCCAATAAGATTGGGGTCCTAGTAAAAAGAGGTAGATCCCTGGGATGTGCCCACAGAGAAAGGAGAGCAAGAAGGTGGTTGTCTGAAACTAACGGCACAGGTTCCAGGAGAAACCAAGCCTCATGGCACCTTGCCCTCAGGCTTCCAGCCTCCAGAACTGTGAGAAATAACAGTCTGCTAAGGGTGCAGCCACCCAGGTTATGGTACTGTGTCATGGGAGAAGACTAAGAGAGTGCACCATTGCTAGTCTCTGCTCTCCAGAGATCATGTGCCTCTGCTTGGTGTAAGATCAGCCAGACAGCAGGACTTGCTGCACTTGTAAAAGCAGAGAGCAAATGTTTACACAGGTGGCAGAAATGCTTTTGGAGGACCATGACTTTGGGATGCTTTGATGCAATCCTGCTGTCCAGAGAGGAGGCTGCAAAGAGTGAGGTTAACTCACAAAGAACATGAAGTTGAAGGAAGTGCTCTAGTAGACTGTCACACCAGAGAAGCCACTTCAGTTAAAGTTGTTATTCCCTCTAATCCTCAAAGGATGAACCTCTGGAGCCATTCAAAGAGGCTATTCTAAGACATCAGTATCTGCTCTCTGATTCTGAAGAGGAAGAATGGAGAGGTTTGAGAGCTCTTCCCCAGGTGACCCTCAAGAGAGTTGTTTGGTGGCATGACTGTCTCAAATGGGTATTAGCAAAGTTGCCCATGAACATACTCATCACAGAGTGGTCAGATTGGTCAGTGTCTGAAACCAACCCTGGTGGGAAACTGTAAAAGATAGGCTAGGGGCATTTTCAGGCAATGTGTCACCTACCAACAGCACAAAAAAGGAAGAACTGTGAAGGTGAGACTTGGCTCAAGGGCCCTCTGAACACCTCCCAGTGGATTTTACCCAGCTTCCTGCCCTTTGGACGGAGGAAGTTTTAGTCATTGCATGTCTGTTTCAGGATGTGACAAACCTTTTTCTTGCTGAAAGTTATAGCCCTTATAGCTGCCAACAAACTACTTGGATTTGTGTTTCTATGCCAACTTTATTCCAAATTATGTGACACACACTGCATGGGAACCAGCGTGAAGGACTGAAGATAGTTGCCATTACTGAGAATGACATTGTATTACCACCCACAGACTTCTGAGAAGCTGCAGGGACCACTGACAATCAAAATCACCAACACTTTCGGGGCCAGTGATCCAGCTCAGTAGGAGAACATGTGCTGAGCACGTGTGAGGCCCTGTGTTAGATCCCCTGCACCAAAAGGAAAAATTTCCAGAATTCTTGAGTTTTTCACACCAGAGTCCAAACCAATTCTATGACAATATTGTCCACTCATTTGCAGACACCTCAGTTCTTCCCCAATGGACTGTAACTGGAGGACCCATGAGTTTAGGGATTCCACCTGATGCTAGGCCCTGCCCTGATGCAGGCAGAAATGGCAAAAACAATTGGAAGGGCCTTGGGCTGTCCTGTCTACCATGTGCAGGCCAAGGCTGCTTCCCATACACCCTCTTCATGACCTTCCACTAGGTGTTGTCTCCTGAAAGGCCTCCGAGGAAGGCCTCGGAGCCTTATTGAGAGGGTCTTCTCAGGCCTTGTAAACTCCAGGGAGTCAACTCTCAGCTTCCTGTTCACAGCAATCATCACCCAACACAGCAGGGAAGTCACTCAGTGGGGGCCTCATGCTGAGGTCTCAGAGTCCCTCAGAAGCAGCCACTCTTCAGCAATAGAGAGCTAATCCCAGATGTTCACAACAAGCTGATGACCTTGGACAATGGACAGTCTCCACCTAAGATGTCATTCCAATGCCTGCATCCAATTTGTTTTGTTTTCCATCTGCTTACTTAAAATAATTTGCTATAGTTTTCATGTGGAGTATTGCTGTGACTATCCCCAACAATGCAGAAAACCCTTTAGAAATGTTTTATCAGAGGAGTTTGGAGAAGGAGGCCAGAGAAAGCCTAGAACACCAGAGGTAGGGTTTAATAGTGATTCTGGTGGGGGCTCAGAAGGCAAGAATGCTGATAGAATGTGTACAGAAAAGGCTGTGCTGGTGAGGTTTCCGATGAAAATGAAAACCCTGCAGGGAATTAAACTAAAGGTTGCCTGGTTACACTGTGGGAAAAAACCCATCTACATTTTGTATATGCCCTGAGACTTTGTGGGAGGCTGCTTTAAAATTAATGGACTAGTTTATCTGGTGGGGGAAATTTCAAGGCAGCAAAGAATTCAAGTAGTAACTCAGGGGTATTATTGGTTGCTGCTAGCCAAATTTACAGTGAGAACCAGGAGCAAAACTATGAGCAAAAAATTGGCAGGGGATGTAACTAAGTGATAAAGCACTTATCTAGCATGTGTGAGGCTCTGGGTTCAATCTCTAATACTGCAAATGAAAGATTTGGAAAACTTGTAACTTTTCCAGAAAAGGAATGTGCTTAAATGTGTAGCCAAGAATGGTACAGTTGCAAAAGAGATTAGTGCCATTAAAAAGAAACCAAGTGTTTTGCATCAGGACAATAGGAAAGACACCAGATGGCACCTAAGAATTAGCAAGGTCACAGCCATCACAGACTCAGAGATGCATAAACACAAACTTCTCTCAAAGACTTTCTCTTTCAGAGTGCACTTCCCATCCAGGACTGTCTAAGCCGAGTCCACTGCAGCTGCAGTCCAAGGGGACCTGGTTATAGACCTTGGTGCCATCCATGTGGTACTGATTTTAAGGCAGGCAGGACTCAAGGACTATGACGTCATGGAGGCTTCCACTAAATTTCAAAGGAAAGCCTAGAAGGCCAGGTGGTGTGTGATAGGGCTGGAGTTCCTGCAAGCAGCCTGAGAGGGCAATGAATGGAGCTATGAGGGTGAGGCTGAAGCTACAATGGAGACTCCAGGAAGTTAGAGAGACCAGGAACATGGAATGCTGCCAACAGAAGCTGCAGACAGCATGAAAAGCCAGTTCAAGAGGGGCCATGAGGTTACAATCGGCAAAGCTCAAGGTGCAGGTCTACCCAAGCCCTTTGGAGCTCACATCCCACATGCCCTGGATGGCAGACCCATGTCTGGATTTGATGTTTGCCAGGCTAGGTTTGGGTCTTGTTCTGATCCAGTCTCTCATTATTTCTCTATTCCTTCCTTTTGTTATGGGAATGGTTAATCTGTACCATTGTATCTTGAAATTTGATTTTTTTTTTTTTTTGGTGGTACTGGCATTTGAATATAAGGCCTCTTGCTTGCAAGGCAGGTGCTCTACCACTTGAGCCATGCTCCCTAGCCCTTTATGCTTTAGTTATTTTTCAGGTAGTATTTTAAGCTTTTGGTCCAGGTCATTCTGGACAACTATCCTGCTACTTACACTTCCATGAAGCTGGTTGACAAGTATGCCACCATGCTCAGCTTTTTTTGTTGAGATGGGGTCTCACTAACGTTTTGCCTGGGATGATCTCAAATAGTGATCTTCCCAATTTCTGCCTCCTGAGTAGCTAAGATTACAGGCATACTCCACCACATACTAAGTCTCCTTTTCCCCCTCCAGTGGCTCACAGAGAGTTTGTCTTGAGTAGCAGAGGGAACTCTAGACTTGGACTTTTGACAAATGCTGGAACAGTTAAGACTATGGGGACTCTTGGAGATGAACCAAATACATTTTGCATTGTAAGAAGGAATAAACCTTTGTGGGTCAGAGGTGGAATGCTATAATTATTTATCTGGTATGTCCCTCAAAGGCTCACCTGTCAAAGGCTTGCCAGTAGCTTGGTGCTACTAGGAGGTGGTGCAAACTTCAGGTGGAGCATAGTAGAGGTTTTTGCTCACTGTATGGGTGCCCTAGGACCCAGGTCTCTACCTCTTACTTTTTTGTGTGTATTCTGGTCATGAGGCAAATAGTTTTGCTATGCCATGTGCTCAGGAGAAAAATCATCAGGGTCTTCAGGGTTGAGCCTCATGGCCTCTGGATGGTTCTGTCCTGGATTGGGCAACAGAGCTCGCTTGGATTCAAAACACCTTTCAGGGACTGTATATTGTTTTTGTTTTTATCTCAGTGATCACGATGTGCTTTCTATCCAGAAACCTACATGCATTATGCAGCCACGATGACCAAGATGACACAGAAACAAAAAGGCTAAGATGATCTCACAGTGTGGGTGATCATAAAGATAAGTGAATCTCTGAGCAGTGAAGATCTGATCTCTAGCCTTTCCCCATTGGTCAGCCTTGAAGCAGGGGAAATAGAGAAACTGAATATGCAATTTGGTGATGGCCAGGCCATAGGTGATAAGAGGGCACTGACCCATACCTCTGCAGCAGCCAGCCGGGAAGCAAGAGCACAGCTTTTGTGGATTTATCCCAGACTGGTCAGGACTTGGCAGGTGACCACAGCTTCTCTAAGGCTCACTCCTGCCTCCAACTTAGGGTCTATCAGAGAAATAAGATATTCATCCTCAGTACTCACAAGGTGGCCTAGGCTGGCAGGGAACTGCCTCCAGTCCTGCACAACAACAGCAGTCCTCAGGGCACACTTGCAACCTTTCCTTCTGTCCACCACACAGGGTTTCCCTACCCTGCTTGCCTGTGACAAGTAATGGTGGCTGACTCCCTGCCAGAGCCAGCTCTGCATACACAGTCTGCCTGTTCTCAGAGGGATTTTTGTTTATTCCCACAAAGTCCACCTCATTACTTGATGGTCACCTCTCATTTACAACAGAAAAATGTATTCCCCAGATTGGTTGCCCTCTTCAAATAAAAATACTAAGTGAAAACATACAAAAACACAGTGTTAGCTCACTGGGAGCACAGGGAAGTGCTGTGTGCACATTTCCCAGCATACTCAGACACAGATGCACAGACTTTCCAAGAAGGTGAGTTGCTATGGTGTATGGCTGAGGGCCAAGGTCATGCCAGCCAGGGATTCATCCAGGGCTAGCTGGACACTGAAGTGTGGGCATGGCATGAGGTCAGGGCCAGCTGTGTACCCTGGTGGGAGATGTGTGTTCTGAGGCCACGTTTGGTACTTAGCAGTAGGGGTAAGAGGAAACATGAGGGAGTAAGTCTTCTCTAACATGCACATGCCAGAAGTGGCTGGCTTTAGGAAAAGGAAGGAAGGAACACTGGTTCCTAATCAGATAGACAGGGGCACAGGAGGTGAGAAGAGCTCAGAGCTCAGCAGGGTGTACTGAGTGGGCTAGGCCACTGCCTCAACCTGGTGCAGGGGAACAGAGGAACAGGGGCTGGGGAGCTGGCTAGAACCAGGTCTGAAATGGACACACCTTACCTCCTCAAACTTGTAGGCTATCATGGCGAAGGCCTTAAAGATGGCATCAGTTGGACCCGTGATGGTTACGATTCTCTCTGGGCAGTTCCCCTCTGAGATGTTGATCCTGGCACCACTCTAGGGTGAGAGAAGAGTAAGCATGGTCGATGAGAGACTCAAGTCCTCCACGAAGTGCAGGCCTGAGTTCTTCTCTAGGCCTGCGGACAATGCCCAATGCATACACAGGCGCCAAACCTTATCTGCAAGTTTTACTCTCAACAGTGAAATTCTTTCCAGCAATCCCCTTTAGAGCGGAATTTTAATTGGCCAGATTCCAAGAGATCCCTAAGAGAGCCTGTGCTCTACGCATTGAACCCCTGTATGTCAGAGGAATGACCACCTTTCTTTTCCTGGGCATCCCTGTGTACATGGGATAAGACATGGCAGGTCTATGAGGGCCTCAGGCAGAGAGAGCCTGAGACCCTCCTGGTCTCAGCATCATAATTCAAAGGTGAGATATAGTCCAGGGCAAGTCACACTCACCTCTTCACGCATCTTCTTCACAGTTTCCCCTTTCTGGAATGGAGACACAGACAAGGAAAAGTGGTCACTGCCAGCTCTGCAGAGGGTACATGGGCCTGGCACAGCACTGAGTGCCAAGAGCTGCTGCTGTTTTGTGGGCCTCTAAGGAGTAGACAGCACAGCCTGCCCCAGCCTGCCTCTGGCCTGCTTGAGTGATCCAGCCTTGTCTGCACCCCTGTGAGTGAATAGGCCTCTCCACTCACTGGGTCAGACCTTTTTCACACGACCCTGTAGGCATTTCGGATGAAGAAACAGAGGCATGAGAAGGTGGATGCACTCACCCAGAGGTACAGCTGGCCAGGTAGGCAGGCTTTGACATGACAAAGGCCCACTCTCACCTTAGCACTGTGTTGATGGTGCCAGAATGGGTCTGTGTGCTGTTGGGTGCCTGGCAAGGCTGCACACAGTTCAGTCATGGGTGGTTAACTCCCTGAGATGCCATCTCCAAAGAGAAAGGATGAGAAAGATCTGGGACAGTAAACAGTTGGAGGCTTGCCCATGATACAGGGACAGTGGAGGGAAGAAAATTCAGGGCTTCCTGAGATGGCCAAAATGCAACATACAGGGAGGGCAACACTTAGGCCCTCCACCCTTCCTGCCTTGCATGCAGCAGGCTTCTGTTTGGCTCTCATGTGGGAACCTATCTTTGATTTTAGAATGGAACTATAAGGAGGGTTTACTACTTTTCTGAAGATTGTCCAGAGTTCAGGGCTGCTAAAGAATACAAGCCAACTCTTTCTGGGGTCTCAAGCCAGCCATCATCAAGGTGCAGAGGCTGTCAAAGTGACCAGATGGAGCCTTGCCAGGGCCAAGGGAAAATGATGCCCCCTTGGCTAACAGTCAGCCAGGAACCAGCTCCATACTGGTGTAGCTTGAAGCAATGGGGCAACATTTCTGTTGGGACTACCCAGCACCAGAGGCAAGCTGCCCTTGCCACCCCTCACAGAGCCCAAGAGAGGCAGGGTTCAGTCAGTAGTTACCTTCCCAATGATGCTTCCAACTTCCTGTGGGGAGAAAAAGATCAAAGAAAGACGATGTCATACAGCAGAAGAGGACAAAAATCTGGCAAGACACTGTCAAAACTGGTCTACTTTCCTGACACAAGGGAGAAATTTATTTATTATTTTTGTGGTGCTGAGGATGGAACCAGGACCTGGTTTGACAAGCCCTGCTATACCACTGTCTGGCATGGGGTGATTTAGCTTCAATCAAGCTGAAGGAGCCTGGAGGCATACTTGTAATTCCAGCCCTACTCAGGAGGCAGAGATCAGGAGGATTGTATTTGAGGCCAATTTGGGAGGGACCCAATCTCAACAAACAAGTCAGGGGTGGAGGTACATGTCTGTAATGCTGGTTACACAGGAGGCATAGGCAGAATGATCATGTTGAGAGGCTGGCTCCAGGCAAAAATGCATGACCTTATCCAAAAAAATAACTAAAGCAAAAAATGACTGGACACATGGCTCAAGTGGTAGAGCACCTATCTAGCAAAGATGAGGCCTGGAGTTCAAACCCCAGTACTGCCAAAAAAAAAAAAAGGAAGCATCCAAGTTGGGATGGCCATGTGTTTCTCTATGCCATCTGGTGGAGACTAATCAGAGATGGTGCCGAGCCTGACTGCCCAGGAGGAGGACACCGCCAGCCACTTTCCAGATAAACAATGCACTCAAGGCCCCAAGGAAACCCTATGCAAACAGATGGGGAGTATATCTTTCCCCCCACGTCTGGAACGCAAGGAGGACACGGTGCTGTTGCTATAGCTTGTTTCACATGAACCCCTTGCATAGCTGCCACAATTCTGCTACCATGGAAGGCACAAATCCTGGCTGGGCCAGTGGTCAGAGCACCTCCTGCCAGCAGGACAGCCTCTGGAAGTTGCTACCATTGAGCATCACTGGAGACATAGGCCAACTTGGCTTCCAGCCACAGGAAATGAGGCCCTGCACACTTTTCTCAGTACAGCCACCCTCAGCAATCCCTGCACTGTGGAGCAGTGGCCCTTCATGGGCATAAGGAGCTGATGAGGGAGAAGGGCACAGGAAGGGAGCTTTGATGTGGTCTATCTGGATGACCAGCACACGCCTCTAGCACCTAGGCTTGTGCAACTGCCCCTGGTGAATATGTGCAGACCTCTGCAGCCAGATTTCTCAGGGTGCAGACAGAGATTGCAGGCACTGGGATAAGGCTGTGCTGATGGCCTGGGTGGGGAGCAGTGAGCACCAGCATGCAGGAAAGCACCCTGCATGTAGGAAACATGCACTAGAGAATTCAGCGGCAGGCATTAGGATAGCCATTAGTCTTGAATGGTTCTGGAAAGTGTTATTTGGATGTACTTGCAGTGGCTTTGTAAGTTTGAGATTGCTTAGAGCAAGGAGAATTTGTCCAAGCCAAGCTCCTGACAGTTGATGTGGCCTCTGCTCTGCCTTGGGTCTCTACCTTTCCATGCATCAGCAGGCGGATAGTCAAGGTCACGTTCAGGCCACCTTCTGAAACCTTGGACTCCATCCTTCTCCCAAAATGCAGCTGGGGATGGTGGCTTAAGGTGCTGAGGGTGCTGTGAGGAAGGATGGACGGGGCCCAGATGGCGTCACCTAGAACGAGAAGGCACAGCTGTGACCACTTAGTGCACCTCCACAGTCCTGGAAGAGCCTCCTGGCTTTGCAGGGGAGTAGATAGGCCACTGTCACCGCCACAGGTGGAAGGCTTCACTTGGGGAGATTCCTGGTATTTCAGGGATGGGCCTTTGGGGAAGCCCAGCCCCAACGGACTAAACACATGACCCTGGGGGGATCTTTTAAGTCCTCTGGCCTTAGTTTCTTCCTCTGCAAAAAGGATCATAGGAGCACATTTCTCAGAAGACAGACAGTGTAAGGAGCCAGCCAGGAACACCCTAGGGAGAGCCAGTGCCCAGCTCCCTGGGCCTGGTGAGCATTGGCAGGGACCAGAGGCCCATGAGATCCCAAGTCTGAGGTCATAGGAGTCTAGAGGCAGTGTGACTTTAGGTGGCACTCTAGAAAGATGAGTGCATAGCATATGCAGTGCATGAACACAGTGGAGAGTGGCCAGTGTGGGGTGCAGCTGCAGGGCTGTAAGAGTCCCCAGCAAACAGAGAGGATGGGAAACCAGGTAGGGCACAAGATAGGGAATGGGAGGCCCCCGAGGACCTGAAGATCAGCTGACTGGGGAGGGAAAGTGGTGGCAGCCGTACAAGTTCTGACAGAAAAGAGCTCCTTGGTGGACAGAGGGGCTGGCATAGGTACATGTGGGTACGTAAGGATTTGGCTGAAGGCAGGTTATCTGGGGACCCATGGGGCAGAGAGCCTGACCGGCCTCCGGTGCCTGTAAACCTGTCCAGGAACGCGCCTAAGAGGTGGGCAGGTTCATGAAAAAGATGAAGACGATGCTGGTTTCCTTGAATGAACCAAGGGCACCACTGAAAGCTCCTCCAGCGCTATCCCATACTCTACAAATCTTTCAGGAACAGTCCGTGACACTTGTGTATACCCAGCTCCAGGCAATGAGGCCTGAATGCCCTCAATATAACTTGGTCAGAGCAGAGACTGCACGCAGGCGGAGAGATGATGGGTTAAAAGTTGGGGCAAGCCGCGTACGAATGGCTCACGCCTGTAATCCTAGCTACTTAGGAGGCAGTGTGGTTTCAGTCCAGCCCGGGCAAAAAAAGCAAGCAAGACTATCTCAAAAATATCCAACACAAAAAGGGACTGGTGGAGTGGCTCAAGTGGTAAAGCACCTGCTAAGAAAGTATGAGGCCTTGAGTTCAAAAACTCCAGTACCACCAAAAACAAAAAGTTGCAATGTTTTTCTTCATTATATTATCTCTGTTAAAAATATGCTAAAGGGAAAATGTAAAAATAAAGCACAGAAGCAGTGCATTGAAGTGATCATTGTGTGATGTGTGTAAGGAGGATTCTGCAAACAGCAGCCACTGGTAGCTGGTATGTAAGAGCGACAGCAACTAATGCATCTGTGCATTAGCAAAACAGCATGTTATCATATACTTATATTAAAAGTGAGCTTATTGCTTACTTCATCAACCATTGAATTGTTAGTCCTAAGTATTATTCACAATAAAATGAACATTTTGAACAACAAGGCTTTGAACATAGCATTTAACAAGGATTTTACATAGCAAAGAAGAATTCTGCCACTAAGGTTCCCTGTCTTTGCTGACCAATAACAGCTACATGTGTCGATTTACATTTGAACTAAAAATTCACTGTGTACATTTTAAGTGCTAAACAAATAGCCTCATGGGGCTGTTGGCCATCCTGTGGAAGAGCACAGACAGAGACAAGAAGGCTCTGTTGGCCAACACATTCCCATGGCCCCTGCAAAATGCTGGACCCCAAAAGGGTACCATGAAGGAGGGTCTCAGAAGGGAGGAGCATCTAGCCCAGAAGACCATCCAAACAATACTGAGATGAGCCTGGCAAAGCCCTTCTTACAGATCTGCTTCTGCTAAGACAAAATGGATTGTACACTGGCCAGTCTGGGGATCTGTGCCTCCTTTTTAATTAAAGATATCTCCTCACCACCAGAGGGACGGCATGGCCCTGTGGCTGTCTGTTACATAAATGTTTCCAGCCCAGGGAAGAGAAAGTGGGTCAGTGCCTGCCCCGGGTGCTTCCGGCTCCAGGCTGTCAGCAGCAATCAGTCACACAGGCCAGTGCCTCTCTGCATCAGATGGCAGGAGGGAGTCACACAGAACTCTGAGACTGAGGGAGTGACAAGGTGTCCTGTGGAGTTGGTGAGGTACTTGGGACTTAGGACTTTGCCCTGAAGAACCCACCCTGCTCCAGCAGCAGCTTGGGAGCCACAGATCTCTTAACAAGCATGGGGTGAAAAAGCCCCTGGCCGGTCCTTGCTGCACTTGGCAAGCCCTGGGAACCTGTTCATTCATGGTGACACTGAAGTCATGGGCCTTCTTTCACCCAACCCACATGAACTCATCTACCCAGAGCTTCTTGGCTATTTAGAGAATAAAGGGCCAAAGTGATTGCTAAAGGAGACTCAGTAGGAAGACTCATTACTCTAAGGTCATACTAGATTAGAAGCCCGAGAACCCCACCCCTCTGGATACCCCACTTCTCCTGGGACCCCTCCCCTCCCGAGGCCCCTCTCCTTTTGGGGCCCCACTTTTCCTGAGGCCCCCCTACCCCTCTGGGACCCTACTCCTCCTAGGATCCCTCTCCTTCTGGGACCCCTCCTCTGTGCTGGCTTTCTAGGAGCTTCTCCCTCTGTTCTCTTCAGTGCTGGCGATTATAACATACTCACTTAATGGGAGGCAAAGGAGAGACAAACATGGTTACCACCACATAGGGGCCTGTGCCTACAATCCACACTTGCCCATCAAGTCTGTCTAGGCTATGGTTTAAATGGCACTTTGTGTGGACACCAGCCACAGATGTTCATCAGCCCAGCATCTGCCTTACATTGGACTACCCGGGCAGTCTGGGCGAGCTGAATGGGTTTCTAACAGATTCTGCCTTTGACATGCACAAGGGGTGGAACTCCTGACCCTACCCTGTCTTCCCAGGCTACCCATCCACCTGTCTGTCCCAGCATTCTCCCACTCAACTGCCCAGACCCAAATGATTCTCTTCTCATCCCACCCCATTCATAAACAAGTCCCATAGCTTCCCTATAACTTGGGTGCAGGATCTAGACCTTCCCACCCTCCTACCAGGCTAGGGCTCTCAGTCTTGTCTCTCATCACCCCTGTAACAACCCCATCTGTGCATACAGCAGTCTTGAAACACTGCACTGGGTTAGCGACCAACAAAGAAAGAGACAAAGGCAAGCACAGTGACAGTGCCACCAAGAATGATGAAAGCTGAAGAGAGAAAAGAAACCAGAGGGGGCTTGTGAGGGGCAGGATTGCAAAGTGGGAAGGCTTAGGAATGGTCCTCTAAGGGCACCACTCAGAGTTTGATGCCCAGTCTCTGGAGGCCTGGGGCAGCACTCAGGCACTCAGGTAGTAGGATAGTCAGTATAGTCTCTGCAAGAAAGGACATGGAACCGTGGAGGCTGGCAGCAGGTCAGCAGCCAGCCTGAGGTGTCAGACCTTACAGGAATAGGCTCAGCTGCAGAGAACTCCCCACTAACCCCCAGGCCTAGGGCCTCCTTCCTCAGGACCACTTCCAGGGAAGCAGTGCAGCCCTTATAAAGAGTGATCTGGCAAGCACACCAGTAGTCTAAAATATCTGCAACTTTTAAGTGAGAAATTGCACTTGCATTAATCTATGTCTAACAAATAAAAGAAGCACCAAGACTCAGACAAATGTGAACATGGACTTGCTTGTGTGGGGTCTGCTGGAGACCAACCCGACATGTGCACACCTAGAAAGGGGACCATCAGTGAATGTCCCCATACCATGGAGCACCTGCATGCTTCTAGCTGGGCCTGTCCTCAACCTTTAACTCCAGGAGGTGGGTACCATTGTCATCTCATTTTACAGATTCAAGAACTGAAGTGAGAGAGGTTAGGGGACTCGCTCAAGGTGTGCAGCTGAAGAATGTGAGGTGGGGGCAAGCTCCAGACAGCTGTTGAACCTGTGATCTGAATTCACACTTAAAAGAAGTAGCAAGATGTCTGCTCTGGAGATGGAACAGAAGTGCTTTGTCCGATTCCTCCTCCTAGACAGCTAAGAAGCCTAATCTTATACCCACAGTAACACAGAAGGACTGCAGTGTTGGAGGAAGCAGAGAAGCAGGGAGCAGGCACCCTGGGAATGACACGGGGTGACCTCCCTGGGCTTCCTTTATGCTTATGCTTCTCTCCAATCTTGGAGGTGGAGAAGTGGCAAGTTAGAGATGCTGACAGATGGGAACAAGCTAGGACCCCAAAGAGGTCTGAACCTCTAGGCCAAAGGACCAGGAAGGGCAGCAGCAGGACCGACCCTTCCAGCAGTACCTCCTGTTCCAGTCATCCCCACCCTCAGCAGAGGCTGGGCTGGGAGTCTCCTGCCTTCATCAGGTTGTACAGGGCACCACAAACCCTAGGTGGCAACATGTCCCGGCTCATGGTGCCAGTGCAGGCCATGGGAGTCAGCAGTGAGGAGTGGTCCCATCCCTGGGTGTCAGCAGTCCTCTGAACCTGGACTTCCACCTCTCTGTCCCCTGCTGGAGTCCTGTCAGTAGAAGCCAGCTGAAATGAAGGCTTCAATGAGATCCAGAGTCTCACCACATAATTCTCCAACTGTCCAGGTTTCAACGGAAAGTCATCTGTCATGCCAAGACCCAGAAATATCCCAGTGTGAATGAGACAATCAACAGATGCAAACCCTGAGGTGACAGAGTATCAGTTGACAACTATGAAAGCAACCACCATGAAAGTGCTTTAATGAATAATTAGGAACATTCTTTATACAAATGAAAAAAATACATCATCTCAGCAGAGAAACAAAAGTTATCAACAAATTAATGGGAGCTACAGAGAACAAATGGACATGGCACAAGTGGAGTCCACAGACTGCATCTCCACATCCTTCAGCTAGTCACTGAGGATCTGCTGGGATGTGGTCCACCATGGAGGAGGAATAGGCCTGGAGTGTGGGACAATCTGAGTGAA